TGCATATTAACAAACATAGTGTAAAAGTGTGCTAAATTTCGCTTTACACTATAGGCGTATCAATTAAAAAATTGATTTTTTCACCTATTGACCATTTTTATTTTGGATATGTGATAAATAGATTATTATATTCATATAGATTCAATAGTAAATTTATTGAACTTCTTGAATAAAACAAATGCTAGGTGGCAAGAGGCTTGCATTTTATGTTTTATTCAACTTGTTCAATAAATTCAGCATTAAATCTACACTCATTCAATATCCTCTATATGTACATGCATCAGATGTCACAAGTGTGAAAAAAATCAGTGAATGTCTGTGAATTTATAACAATGACTTTGATAGAATATTTTTTAAGGTATTTAATTAATAAGAATCATGAAACTCACAGATGTTTGACTATGATTAATCCTGTATGGAAATAGTACATTTATTACAATACAGGTTTTTTCCTACCTCAATCTGTTACAGAGTTTGTTCTGATAAATTCACCTATTATAATGTGTTGTAGTCATGATTAATTTGTTTTTATTTAGTGCCAACTTTGTTATCTTATGTTGGATTAATTCCTTTTAGAGTATCTCAATTTTTATGATAAGGTTGAAATTGTACACAGATTTTCTTGTCATGAATTCATGAACATGGATAGTTGATTTATAAATAAAACAAACTGAAATCAGTAACTGACTTGTTGTTGTATTTGTTATATGTCACCCATATTCCATCATTATAACACAAGTATAAATGCGATAATCTTCTTTTTGACCTAAAAGTGCTGCACCTCATGAAAACAAAGATCAACAAGAAAGGGCGGCATTCAATGAAAGCACCCCAAAACAAAACCCTACAGGAAGGGGCCCAGCAGGATACAAAGCAAAAACAGCTAAAAATTCTCCTTGTTGTAGCTATTTACTGCCTACTTTGATGCCTTATACCTTCTCTGCCGTCTTTGAATACAAGACATATATCATACAAATTGACCTACAATTCTTTTGCGCATTTTTAACCTTCACCTAAACGATTTTGTGTAACTAACATGTCCTGATTTGGTTTTCAAATTATAGTCTTAGAAATTTCAGTATCAAAATATTTAAAATTTAGCAGCTTGTCCAGACTAATAAACAGGTTGGGCTTGGATCTGAAGTGGTCAAGTGGTGACATAGTCAAGTTATATTCTGTAGCACTAGATGTTTAAAAGGACTCCACTGACAGAATGGATATATTTTCTCTAAAGATTTTTTTATACCATTTTACATCATTTTATACCAATAACTTGTGTGCATAATTTATCAAAAAGGTGCAAAGTTATTTGCGGACACCAGATGAGTTCTTAGAATAGATTGGCTAAAAGATAAAAGTAATAAGATTTTCAAAGCAAGCAAACTTAATATAGTTTATTCTATAATTTTTCAACAAGAAATCTTTTGAAGACTAAACAGAGTAGATAAATAAAAAAACAAACATGTTACATGTTCTTTTCTAAAAATACTTCAGTTACTGAAAAGTCGTAAAAAATAATAACATAATTATTCCACACTGCAAAAACAACAAAACGTAATAATTCCTCAAAGAAGATTTTTTAGCGAAATAAAACATTTTTATGAAAATCAATCTTCTAGATGATTTATTCTGTGACAACAATGCAAAACAAAAAGCTACATTTGAAATAAGGCAGACATGTGCACCAAAATAAACAAGTGTTGTCGAACAAACGGAACAATTCACTATTTTCTATGTTTTTTTACACTGAATAAAGATCATAAGTTCTCAAATGTAGAAAACTTATTAGGTGATCCTAAAGACATGATTTTGTTAAAATTCAGTACTTTGGGAAATGGGACTTAAGTGCAAAACTTTAATTCTTATGATGTATTGTTATGCAAGTGCATTAACGGGTTAACTCGTATTAAATTTAACAGAAGTTAACCAGTTACTGCACTAAGGTGATTTTATCAGATGTGCACTTATCCATCTTTCAATTTGATAAAACCATTCATTATTAAAGGAAAAGTTTTATACAAAGTTTTTAAACTGAATAGCAAGCAGACCATGATATGTCACAGCAATGGAATATATAGTACAACAAATAATAAACATTTACAGTATTTTTAAACCAAAATACTAACATACATGTATTTTTAATTACATTTTTTTTTAACATTATCATTTTTTTTGGCAAACTTCCAAATTGTTAATCTAATTTTACAATACAATAAACAATCACAAAACATTGGGCTGTGCTGTTTCCTTTTACCCTTTTCTGGTTAAATTTACAAAGGGATACAACTCAATGAAAATCAGTGCTAGAGATATGATATCATAAAAATTGAGCTTGTTGGTATGAAGTTTTAGGTGATTTTTTTGTTTGTTTGGTTTTACAGTGCATAATACAATTTAGATCATATGGCGTCGAAATAAGAAAGATGATTTTGGCTAACCTCAGGTGTTACAAACATAAAGCAACACCAAGGGTCAAAAACACCTCAACTGCCGGAGCTTAGAGATACAAAGACTGCAGTTAATCAACCCCATTTAGAGCTTATTATGATCATGCAGGGATAAACAAATGTTGTGATTCTAATGCATCAACCCTTAAAGGCAACCCCTCAGTCACAAAGGAGTTTCTGGTGAAAAATAAGATACAAATAAGCATGCGTTACTGTAACCAATGGTAAAGCTAATGCTGATGTCAAGTGAGAAGGCAAGCTTGACTATGAGATTGTCTTATCAAAACAATTATACATGTAACAGAATAAATGCTGATAAACTAGAGGTGAACTGATGATAAACTTGTAGTACACTGCTGATAAACTGGTGATAAATTGCTGATAAACTTGTGGTACACTGCTGATAAACTTTGTGGTACACTGCTGGTAAACTGGAGGTAAACTGCTGATAAACTTGTGGTACAGTGCTGATAAACTTTGTGGTATACTGCTGATAAACTTGTGGTGCACTGCTGATAAACTGGAGGTAAACTGGTGATAAACTTGTGATAAATTGCTGATGTGGTACACTGCTGATAAACTTTGTGGTACACTGCTGATAAACTTGTGGTGCACTGCTGATAAACTTGTGGTGCACTGCTGATAAACTGGAGGTAAAATGTTGATAAACTGGTGATAAATTGCTGATAAACTAGTGATTTACTGGTGGTAAATTGCTGATAAGTGTTTTACTGGTGGTAAATTGCTGATAAACTTTTGATGAACTGGAGGTAAAAGTTGATAAACTGGTGTTACAATGCTGATAAACATGTGGTACACTGCTGATAAGCTGGTGATAAATTGCTGATAAACTGGAGGTAACTCACTTTAATAAGACTAGATATCAAAAGTTATAAAAACATAAAAGTTACCTAATACATTATAATTACACACACATGTTTATCAGTAAACTAATGTACAAGTATTCAAGTGTGTAACATTAAATGTCATTTATGCTACATCATTCAATGAAGTTACTTAAAGTAACATTTTGCCCATCCAAGTGTAAATGGTGAGTGCACAGCTAAAAGTCCATATAAATTTACATTTTGCTATAATTGTGTTCAACTTCAGATTTTACGATGCAAAAATAATTATCCATGTCACCCATGGAAATTCTATAAATTTCGTTTGGAATGTAGCAGAAACATTCAATTTAGAATACGTAGTTTTTTGAAATTGTATTGTAACCTAATTATTTCTAATGACCAATTATTGGTCCATCACTATTAAAAAAGTGAATCTGTTAAAAACTAGAAATGTGTCCATAGGACACGGGTGCCCCCACCGCGCCACTGTTTGTCAATCTTATGACTCTAGGTCAAATATTTTTTGAAAACTAAAAATCTTTTACTAAGTAAAGGGCAAGAACTTTACAAATACTGAATAAATCCACAAGCAAACCCCAAGTTGAAAACAAACCTCAAGTGAAAATTGCAAATTTATACTACTGTAAGTCAATAACTCTAACAAAACTGAAAAAAATCCACATGCAAAGTCCAAGGTTCATAGCTTCACAGTGATGTGAATCATTATTCCTGTAATTTAGTGATGTTGATCATTATTCCTGTAAAGTTAGTCGATTCTAACTCTAGCACTCAAGCACTCAAGGAACAAATAACAACATAATGAAACAGTTTTTACTAAGTCAAGGGAAATAACTCTACAAATACTGGATAAATCCACAAGCGAAACCCCAGGTGCAAAACTAAATATGCTGAGCAACCTTCCCATAAGGTTTAATGACTCTATGTCAAATCCTTTTTGAGTTACATGCGACACAAGTTGAAAATTGCAAACATTTTCTAAGTCAAGGGCAATAACTCTAAAAATACTAAATAAATCCAGACGAAAATACCCAGGTGCACAACTACACATGCTGATCAATATTCCTGTAAAGTTTCATGACTCTATGTCAAATCCTTTTTGAGTTACATGCGACACAAGTTGAAAATTGCAAAATTTTACTAAGTCAAGGGCAATAACTCTAAAAATACTAAAAATATCCAGACAAAAATACCCAGGTGCACAACTACACATACTGATCAACATTCCTGTAAAGGTCAAATACTTTTTGAGTTACATGCGACACAAGTTGAAAATTGCAAAATTTTACTAAGTCAAGGGCAATAACTCTAAAAATACTAAAAATATCAAGACGAAAATACTCAGGTGCACAACTACACATGCTGATCAACATTCCTGTAAAGTTTCATGACTCTAGGTCAAATACTTTTTGAGTTACATCCGACACAAGTTGAAAATTGCAAAATTTGACTAAGTCAAGGGCAATAACTCTAAAAATACTAAAAATATCAAGACGAAAATACCCAGATGCACAACTTCACATGCTGATCAACATTCCTGTAAAGTTTCATGACTCTAGGTAAAATACTTTTTGAGTTACGTGCGACACAAAAGAGAACGGACAGACTGACGGACGGACGGACAAGGGTAAATCTAAATGCCCGCCACTAAAGTGGGGGCTCAAAAATGACTAAGTCAACTAAACCCGACTGAAAAAATGAATATAATGTCACTTTTAATCCAGACACGCTGTATATCTTCTAAGTATTAAACATCATATATGTCTATATGTTGTCCTGACTCAAAACTGTTTTCCTCCAGGAGTGGTATCAATTTACTAACTGATTCTTCACATTTTAGAAGCTTCCCATTCTTGTACATATCTGAATAATATGAAAGCAAAGTAAATGTATCATTCATTTATCTGTAACATAAATACTTGTCACCAAAAAAGCTACAGGTTCTTGTCTATGGTATAGTGACTTACTAACAGGGCAAGCTTTAATATCTGCTCTATGTAAACGTATGACAAATATATGGCCGAAAGATTTTCTTACAGTGGCAGAAATCTTCATATTGTACCATTTACTACATACTTGTTCAGAACTATATTTAACATTACAAAAATCTCTTCTGGAGATAAATAAATCAACAACAGGGTTTTATTTACGCTATATACAGTGACGGATATACATGTATTCAAGACCTGAAAAGTGAATTAATGTTTATGATAATTCCAAGTAATTTCTAATATTCCGTGTCAGTATAAATATCAGGTTAACTCTTTGCAACTTATACAAATATTATCTGTGTTAACAGTATTTTATTGCTAACCTAAAAACATGTTGGTCAAGAGTGTATAAAGCAATTAACTGATAATAGATGTAAACAGCTGGATGCTGAATTCTGTAACATACTTCTCCTGAATTCAGCTATTGAAATAAAAAAAAAACAACACAATAAGTTTTATTCACTTTGTATTTAAAAGTAAAAAGATCTGGATGACTGTCTATAGTAACTGGTTAATTTTACAGACAGAGGAAATCAAAATAATATTTTGTTTAGATATGACACCACACCCCCGTCTTGTACATTTCAATGGATTTTCAGTATCATAACACATGATGTTGTCTAAAGCAATGTAAAAATACATTTCAAGCTAAGTAAAGAACGTAAAACTTATATATTATTAACTATTTTAATTAATTACAGTATAAAATACTTAGTATATATCGAATTACAAAAATTTTATTGCAAATATCAGTCAAATCTTAAGACGAAGCTGAGGTATCATTAGCTTATTGCACTTGTCCAGTTGGTCCGACTTGATTATGTGGTCATATTGTTGAAATCCTCTACTGGCAGGAATATAACAAATCATTGGGGAACACGGCACTTCCTGAAGATGTTGCCTGAAATTAGCAACCCTAAATATTCCATGTACTGAGGGGACTGAACATTTGCAGAAAACCTATGCAGGACCTTGCAGTCGGAGGGTATTAGGAAAGGCAGCATCGAGTTTCAGCACTTCTTTTAACATTCCAAGACATATTCACTCAACAGTATATAATGCAATAAGAGGACAAAATATGTAATAAACATGCTGACATATTCCCTGCAGCTGTACCATATATGTAACAAAGCACAATGTTAAAAACAATTTAGTAATGCGATCATTTCTTTTTAATTATTTATTTTAATGTAATGTAAGACACAAAGACTAAACAAATGGTCCTTTAAAATATGCTTAAAAACATTTCGTCATTGGTGTCCATGATCGTTAATCTTATTGTGTGAAATGCTTCAAAATGAGCAACTGTTGTCATGTATTGATCTGAAATAGTACATAAAATAACTGTTATTGCTTTTTAGTATAAAAACGGTATTGATTTAGATTCTGAAGCAATTATGTTTTAAATGTCATAATTATAAGTGTGATATTTAAATGAAATTTACGAACAAAACATATTTTTATGTTAATAATTAAAAAAAACATTAAAAAAACAATGTAATGAGAAATCAGATTAATTAAGGTAAGTAGTAATACGTCTAAAGTAGCTTGGTTTAAAAAAAGAATAGAACAATGGACTTTTACCTTGAAATGTTCTCATTCATTCCTTTTTATTTTCACAATCCCTGCATTTATTAAACTCACATCCTCAGGTATTTTATAAAAAATAACCGTATAATCTATCTAGAATTGGAATCACATAGTGAAACACAACAATAAAAATGAGGTTTAACACACTTGGGCTTATCAGGTCAGACATTATTTGTTTACATTCATGCCCTGTTAGCCTCTCTCTGGTGATGGAATGTAAAGCATGCATATAATTTGAGAAAGGCCTATAGAATAACTTTCCTATGATATAGTGACTTGCCTAAGATATAGTGACTTTCCTACTATATAGTGACTTTCCTATAATATAAAGACTTTCCTGCAATGCAGTGACTTTCCTATGATATAGTGACTTTCTTACAATTCAGTGACTTTCCTACCATATAGTGACTTTCGTATGATATAGTGACTTTCCTATGATATAGTGACTTTCCTATAATATAGTGACTTTCTTGCAACACAGTGACTTTCCTATGATATAGTGACTTTCCTATGATATAGTGACTTTCCTATGATATAGTGACTTTCCCACAATACAGTGACTTTCCTACAATACAATGACTTTTCTATGATAATGTGACTTTTCTATGATATAGTGACTTTTCTATGATACAGTGACTTTCCTATGATATTATATAGTGACTTTCCTATGATACAAAGACTTCCCTACGATATAGTGACTTTCTTATGGTGTAATGAATTTCCTATTTCTATGATATAGTGAATTGCCTATGATATAGTGACTTTCCTACGATATAGTAAATTGCCGATGATGGAAGGACTTGCCTTTGACATTAGTGCATTATCTGGGGCACAAGTAATTGAGCGACCTTTATTGCTTTTTTTCTAATAATAACCAGTATACTACAACTGCTAGTCTAGTCCCTGAAGTGTTATCAACGTCAGTTTGTTATGTCTAACAATTTACAAATCAAGTAAAATACTGACAATCTACCAGTCTGGGTAAACTGGAATTTTGGTCCTCATAGCCAATGCTCCTGTAAAATGTAGTAAATATCTAATCATTGCTGGAATGGGACAGTAAAAAAATGGCCTTAGTTGGAAGATTTTTCAAGGAGTTATCCCTCTTCACACAAAGTTTTCCACTTCCTTTCCACAGATTATAACAAACCTCACTACATGTACATTCATACATGAATAAATAACCAATAATTAAATTACTAAATTTCAATGGTTGACTGCAAAACCGAAGTACCTGATATGAAATAATGAAGGACATACAATATTTTTGCAGTCAACCCTTCATATATGTTCTATATTCCCATAAATATAATCATACATATTAAATATAGAATGTTACCATTAAATGCTTCTCTCAGTGTCGGGTCAGCACATTGACGGCACTGGGCTTGCATGTCTGTGTCTAGTGGTCCCGGGGCCCAGTTCAACACACGTAGTGATGGGTCTTCTTTTGCCATTGTCAGGAAAAACATATCCCTAGCTGCCTTTCCTATTTATAGTATAAATATTGTGTCATCAACATTTCATTGAACAATTTTTGATGTATTATCCAGTTAGTCATTTTACCATAAAAAGTACGAATTAGATAATAATATATCCCCAGCAGTGATTTTTATCACCAAATAAAATCACGGTTTGTAGTTTGGATGTGCGGAATTATATCACGAGGGCATAGCCAAAGTGATATAATGCTGCGAATTCAAATGACAAAGTGATAAAATCACTACTGTGGATATAATATTTCGATTCCAATACAACATCAACAAATAAATGCTGCCATACCTGATATCCAGCTAAATTGTGCCTGAATTGTTTCAGTACTTATTTTCAGTGCATTGCATTTCAATTGAATACTTCACATGTCAAAATATAGATTGTCAACAGTGATTCCAAACAAATGTTCAATAGGGAAAAATGTGGATCCCGTTAGAACAACACTTACAATGCTGACTAACTGTCAAACAGTAGTAAGAAATTCCTTTTTGACAAACTTTTCAAGTTAGGCTGAACTTAACATTGTTATTCATTTTCATGGCCTGAAACTGTCAATTAGTAAAAAATACCTTTAAGTGAGCTAAAGAAAGGCTATTGCCCAAACTTAGAAAAATTTGTTTTATGGAAAATCTGGCACTTTGTAGTGGCACCTTGGCCGAGTGGTTATTTAATGACAGCTGCATGGGTTCAAATCCTCGTCAGGAGCAAGTTATTGTTTCTTTAAGCGAGAAACTTTACACACATTGCTTAGCACTGGTTGGTTGCAGGAACAGATTCGAAAGTGTACCTATAAGCTTATAGATTCCTACACAATTGAACTAAAATAAATTCTGTAAAAACCAAAATTGTGTCTAAAAGCTTAGCTTACAGGTTCCTACACAATTGAACTAAAATAAATTCAGTATAAAGTAAGTTTTGCACAACTTACCAGCACAGTAAAGTGACCATGATGCGAAAGGTTGCAATGCCGCGAGAGAGGATATATTAACTATCACCTTGTGCTTGTAATCATGTTTTCTTATCTCAGTCAGAAGAGAGGCATTGAGTAAAAACGTTCCTGTCAAATTTGTGTTTACAGCAGACGACAACATGTCAGCATCTATGTACTCCCACGAGTACTTTGTGAGATCCCCGACTGAGCCGGCATTGTGAATTAAAAAGAAAGTTTCAAAACCTCCAAGATTTTTGCAACTTTTCTTAAGAATTGCCTCTATATTTTCTGGTGAACAATCGCTTAACTTGGACTGATCAAATTCACTCCAAGTAACCTGTACTTCTTTATTCAATGAACGTAACTGTGCTGTAACCTGTACGAGAAGTTCAGTGTTTCTAGCGAGCAGAAGTAGGTGTGAACCGGGTACCAGTCTTGTTACAAACATCTCAGCTATACATTTCCCATAACCCCGGCTGGCTCCAGTTATCACACAGAGTGACTTCCCTTTGAAAGGTGATCCTGACATAGTAACTGTTTTCCTGTCACTGAAAACATAAAAAGGATACATGGGATATAATCAAATGGGTCAAACAAATGGAGATTAGCACCTCATGTTTTTTGTCAATTAATATGCACATAACATCATTTTGTTTTGTTGATCATTTTGAAGAGGTTCCTTTTATTTGTTGCAAAATATTCAATGTAAATAAACAAAATATGATTCAACCAGGCAGTGGCATATTAGATTTCAACAGTCCTATTGTATTTACATGTAAATTGTCTTAAATACTCTAAAATTGATGTTAAGAAATTAATCTATGTATTTTTTTATAATAACATTATCAATATATGGTTGAAACACTACGTTTACTGAACACTAATCAATCTACTGTCAAATGGCGTCAGGATGCCAACATGAGAGTTTGGTTTGCGTTGCACCAATGCAGTATAGGTCATATGGCAACTTTCCAGCTTTACTCATGGAGGAAGACCTCAGATGCCCTTTAATGCATTATTTCAGGCACCAGAAGGCACCAAAGTAGAACTCACTGACATTCAGCAAACTAGCTGGATAGCTGCCTCACATTGATCAATAAATTCTATTCTGTTCTGTACATGAAAGAAATTCCGAAGTCCCTTCAGCAATGAAGGGTAAGTGGTATGAAGTAAACAACCTTAACCACTAGGCCACAAATGCATACAATACTGAGGTAAGGTTATACTTAAAGAACCTAAAAACAATTGTGTAGACCCTAGGCTTCAATTATACCTCTTTGTCAGTACTACATGTATAGGTCTTCAAATTTTCTATGAAAAACCTTTAACAAGTGCTGTATCATCAATCAGTTTTGTTAATACTTGTTCAAAATTTTGAAAAGGAGAAGAAACATTTTAGTTCACTCTGAGGCTTAACATTTTAAGTCCCAGGTTCACTATTCAAAGCATTAGATTTTGGAAGTTAACCTCCTCATTGGATTGGCATCAGTGTTGGTAATTAACAATGAAATAATAAATCAAATTTATTTTAATAAATAAATATAATATGGTTTTACAAGCAAGTTAATTACATGTAATTCTAATTAAGTTAATAATGAAGAATTTGAAACTAAACTCATATCCGAGTGTCTAAAGATGAAAATCTCACAATCCAAGTCAAGTCAAGTTAATTTTATTTATAAGTTGGAATTCATATAACAATAAACATAAGCTCTGGTGAGTTTTTTACATATATTACATTGGGTATTCACTGATATCTATCTATCTATCTTCCATATAGTCAAACCCCTGCTGGGGACCTAGACTTGACGCGCGTCAACTGACAAGAATGTTAGTAAAAGAACTGAAATAAAAGAATATAAAAGTAATGGAAATGAGTAAATTGTTAAAAACAGGTTAAAAATAGAGAAGGTATTTTAGGGAGACGTATGTTCAATCCGGCTAACAGCCAGGCTGAACTCGGGGCCAGACAAGTTCATGATATCAGGTGGTAAAGCATTCCAGTGGACTATTGTTCTTGGGAAAAATGAATATTTATAGTAATCAGTTTTAGTTTGGACTTGTTGGAATGCATGGGGATGGGATGTTCTTGATGATCTTGTAAGAGGGACGATATAATTTGGGAAAGGGATAGCCACCTGGTCATGCAAGATGTTGTGAAACATGACCAGGCGTTGGTCGATACGCCGAAGGTCAAGGCGCCTCCATTGAAGGGAAGTCAACATGTCAGTGACACTCGACATACGGCCAAAGTCATGTTTGACCCACCTAGCAGCTCTTCTCTGGACAGACTCTATCTGGTCAATGAGATTCCTGTGTAGGGGGACCAGACCGTGGAGCTATACTCGAGCTGGGGCCTAACAAGTGTCTTGTATGCAGTTGACTTTAACCTTTCTGAGTGAACCTTGATATTTTCGGCGTAGAAAAACCAAGTGTTTGATTTGCCTTTGTTTGTGATGTTGTTTATGTGTTTGTTCCATGTTAGATCATTTGATATTGTAATGCCAAGGTATTTTGCAGATGAGACTGTTTCTAATGTTGGTGTTATGTAGAAGGTATTGTGTTGGAATGACTGTTTTTTCGTTTTGTGATTTGGATAACTGTGCATTTTGATGGATTAAATTGCATGTCCCATTTTGTCTCCCATTGTTCAAGTTGGTGTAAGTCGTGTTGCAGTAAGCTAGAATGAGAAGCGACAGTCAGAGATAGATAGATGGCCGTGTCATCAGCAAATAGGCGGACTTTAGAGGATTGGACATATTCAGGAAGGTCATTGATGTATATAAGAAATAAGAGAGGTCCGAGGACCGAGCCCTGGGGAACACCGGAGGAGACTGGTATGGAGCTGGATGTGGAGCCATTTACCACCACGGACTGTGACCTGTTATCAAGAAAAACCTTTGATCCATTTAAGAGTTTGACCCCTTATACCGTAGAAATGCAGCTTATACAGGAGTTTTTCAATGGTTGACCATATCAAAGGCCTTAGAGAAGTCAAGAAGGATTAAGTCTACTTGGCTTCTCTGATTTACTGACTGTAGGATATCATCTATAAGCATTAATAGTTGGGATTGACATGACCTTTTTTCTCGGAAACCATGCTGCAATTCATAGAACAAGTTTGATCTAGTAAAGTGCTTTGTTATGCTGGAGGAGACAATGTGTTCCAGGGTTTTACACAAGATACAGGTAAGAGAGATAGGGCGATAGTTTGCTGGGTCTGACTTGCTACCTTTTTTAAAGACAGGGGCCACATTCGCCATTTTCCAGATGTCTGGTAGAGTGCTGGACTGCAGTGATTTTTGGAAAAGTTTGGACACTATAGGGGCTAATTCTTTACTGGTGTTTTTCAGCACTGATATATGAAAAACATGGTTACAAATTATTATACATGGAAAGCTTCAGATACGAATCCTGCAAAAGTAAGAGGTAATACATATTAAAATCTGATATAACCAAATATCCATTAAGGTACATATTACAGACTACATAAAACGTGCAACATTTAGCATACTGTATACACAGTCAACAGGTATTTAATGCATACACTCGACTTCCAAAAATTAGCAAATTATAGATAAATTAAGCAAACAAAGACGACCTATGATGCTTCCAAAATTTCATAAATTTGTCCTATTAGCAACATTATCATAAATTACAAGAAAAAACAATAAGAAACATACAACATGCTACAAAATATTGGCTAATACTTTCATTTTGCCACTTGTTTAATTATCCGGAGTTTGACGGAAAGGACCGAATAGATACGGTTGATCGTTGTTCTTCGCGATTTTTTCCGATAATAGACGGAAATCTCCGAATGTCAACCGGAAATAGATATTGGAAATTAGACTGTGTTATACTTTAGATAATTTGTTGTCTAGAGGATTTATTATTGGTTGATAAATTTACACCAGTCAAGCACTTGTTGTCAATTAGAAAATGTCGCGAATTTTAAAAACAAGTCCTTTGTTTTTATCAAAAAGTCGACCAAATGAAGCCATGATGTGATACACATTACCATTTTTTTATATTAATCATATAAGGTATACTTTTGATATCGATGTTCAGATGCATAACCGTAACTTCTGCCTAGATATTACATAATAAATTTGTAAATTTTTATGATGCTTATCAAACATGTCAAATCACAGGCGCTAGTCACATAATCAAATATTTTACATAATCGGTCTATATATGTATATAAAGATATCTTTATATACATATATAGACCGATTATGTAAAATATTTGATTATGTGACTAGCGCCTGTGTGTCAAATAAAAGGAAACAATAATTTATGTAGCCTAGTCTATGTTTAATATAGGTCCATTAAGGTGCCCGGGAGAACTTCGGCGGCAAAATCAATGATTAAAAATCCATATCCTTACCGAAAACACTCGCCCAGTTCCAATTGTGTATGGCTCGTTGAATGTTCACAAAATATGGGGCAGCACGAAATACCCAAATATTGCCCAAATATACTAAAAATAATGTCCAAATATACTAAAAATAAATGTTTTATACCAAAAAGTGCTATTTTTATTATGAATTACAATATAAACATTCTCGACACTTAGATAAAGTCAAACATAGCCAAATATACATTTTCCTATCACCAAAATATACCCAAATACAGTACTGGCATGCGAGCAGTTCCCGTACAAAAATCGTAGTTACTTAAACATTATTTTTTATTACGCTCACTCACCAAAATTTGAATGTTACACATTACTATTCGGCTCGTCACACAAATCATGGAAATTCCATCATGTTCTAAATAGAGCTGTCATCGATATCGACAATATCGATGTATCGTTGATATTTTTTTGTCGATCAATAATCGATACACATTTTAAAAAATCGATTCTTTTAAATTATAAATTAAATGCCTAGAAATTATACAATTCACCTAAAATATATGCAGAAACAATTATTTATATCAAATGTGATGCTTTTGTTATATAGTGGAATTATTTCATAGCAATGGTGACAAAAAATATAGTCTAGAAAAAATCATGCAGTGGACAAGACAATGTACAGAACATGTTTTTGACTGAAATCATTGAAACAGGTATGAAAATGAATGACAGACAAGTGAGTATAGGATATTATCGATATATCAGTGTATCGTTGATTTTAGTTACTTGATATCGATATATCGTTGATATGCTTTGCACTGAATCAATGACAGCTCTAGTTCTAAACATAGAATAACCCTTAGTTATGAGGCCTCATATGGGGTACAGAAATTATCCATTATTTTGTATGAAGAGAAGTAGTTCCCGTACATAAAATTTAACCCATTATAATTATACAATTTTGTTATATCGGACCTATTTTTCAATTATAATTGTTAAACAGACCATTTCCTAAGGTACCGTTACCCCAACGCATTCACATACAATGGCATGCTTGAATGCATGATATTTTATGCATCAAAGCCATAAAATTATTTAATATAGTAATATTGATCAAAATTCTGATAATTTAACAAGTTTTCATCACATTGCCTACTTATCTGTAAACAGGTGGTATTAGTGGAAAACCCTTTAACATGCCTCACATGTAAGTATTTTAGCGCATGCGCGCAAGGACGGAATCCCCCAGAGAAAACAAGGTCACGTTTTGACAACGCACAGGTGAAAGTGATTTAAAATGAGACTTTTTATACGTACTGCCGAACTGACACTTAGATTTTGTCTCTTTTATGCATTTGCTTGATTTGAAATGAATTTTTGAAGATTGCAAGTAAAAATCAAGCGTTTAAATGAAAAATACGGGTACTGCTTCTGTACGGGAACTGCTCGCATGCCAGTATACCCCATTAAAGCTATATTAAATTTTCTAAAAAAATAAAACTATGGACACTTGTATGAAATTTTAGCAAAGTTATACCAAAAAAGAAAAATGAAGTCAACAAATTTTATCATATCTTTATCTTAAGTTGCAAGTATATTCATTAATGAACATACTGTAGATAAGCAAATGTCACAAGATTATTTTCTTACAACATCTGAACTGCCCATTTCAACGGAATGAATGAAAGTTATAGCCACCTAAGTCATACTATGTTATAAATATTAATTAATTTTCTCATTATAATCTGTATTTTATACAAAAATAAATGAATATTGCTACATTTGGGTATATATGGGCAATATTTGGGTATATTTGGGTATTTTGTGCCGCCGCAAAATATGTAATTGATGCCATGATGGTAGAAAACATTTATCCTAAGTCAGAAATGAATTCTAAGTTAGTTCATTCCCATTACACTATAAACTAATATATAGACAAGGGAAACAACTCCCATAAGGAGGTGTCTATGCCCAATCTGGGTTTTTGCCTCACAGTTTTTTATACGATACAGCATAAATAAAAAGGAATTATGCAATATGTAGTCGAATAATTAATGTATTGAACCAATGTAAAACTTTTCTCTTTTATACTTAACGTGTACTGGCCGCCAAAGTAACAAAAAAATATCTATTTACGCGAGGTTGACATCGATGGTGGCTACGCAGGAGCTCAAAGTTACGCCACTGTTGCAATCGTTAGAGATAATATCACAAGCATTTATCATGCTGGGCAATTTAAAATACATAAAACTAAATTATAAATCAAAATATTCCAATAACCTATAGTGACAATGTGATATAAAGTAACCTGCGGCTTCAGAATATTTCCCCGTTGAAATTTATATGAAAACACCACCATCTTGACGAATATAAACAACCGACATCTGATTTGTTGATCTATTTCCTGAAAATATACCCTTTGGGCCAGCTCTTCAAGCTCACTATCAATATTGAAAAATAATACAGGGTAAAATCATATGTTAAAGTAGTTGCAGACAGATTCTAAATCTAAAGTCAAGCTGGTGCCGTTAAGGCACAAAAGCAGTTTTGTTGTTGAATATGGACCCCAGACATGTATGCAGACTTCCCAAAATATGTTAATCTGATGGACATGTCCGATAAGTATTGATTTGGTCCGACAAGTCTTTATTCCGGATCGGTCCTTAGATGTCCAGCTTTTATCCAAGTTGCACATATGCAAAATGGCGTCGCTAAAGGTGCCAAACCTGGAAAAAAATAAATCGGTCAGGGGAGCGTGCAGATCAGCAGTAAATTTTACTAAAAGGATATAAAGAATTGACCTGACAAAAAATTTAATGAAAAATGGAAGCAGACCATTAATGGTTAGTGTATGACACGGAGGAGGTGAAAATGCGTTGTACGGACTGTCGATTTTTACGGTGTAAAAATTAAAACCAAAAAATGTCTTTTTTTAACAAGTTTTCCTTTCATTTTGTTTAATTTCATCCGGTCAGACATATTTCATTTTAGTCTGACAGATTTTCATGGTATGTCAAACCAAATGTCTGACACTTTTTTTTTAAAAAAAGTCTGGTATGTCAAAACTGAATGTCAGGAATACGGGTTAACTTGACACTATGTCTGAAATTATCTCAGCTCCTAGGGGTTAGGGTTAGGGCCCTGTACCAACTCAGAACGGGTCAACCCAGCCCATAACAGTAAACTGTATATTATTAACCCATTACGCGATATACACACCTTTTAATGCCTTTTTCACCCCCCTCCCCTTTTGTTGTCTCAAGTGGTGAAAAAATTCCTTATTTAGGCTCCCCAACACTTTTTGTTGTTTAAAATGCTGTTTAAAAAAGTGACCACTTTTTCGGTGCAACCCCCCAACCAAAAGATACATCAGTGGGTTGTCAGAAGGGGGATGCGCCCCCTTCTGTTTGGGGGGGTTGAAGGGGGCGGCAGTCCCCCTCATTGCCAAGAAAATTTTGGACTTGTGAGAGGCTAAAAATGACCCAGATCGATCATGGACTTGTGAGAGGCTAAAAATGACCCAGATCGATCATAAGGTAACGTGTAAATAACGCTGAAAAGCATTTGACTCTATCTCAATCCATTGAGAAGTGGCAAAATCAATTTTGATGGAAAAAATCAACGCAAAATAGTGATTTTTGGCAATTTTGAGATGTCCCCTCGTTGCCATGGTAACAGGAAATTTAAGACTGAGCATGTTGTTGCAAAGGCAATGGTCCAGTCAACACTTGTGCCAAGTTTGATTAGTATTGAAGCAGTTTTTATAGTTTTATAGCAATTTGAACTTGTAACGGGAGACTTTTCAATGAAAACAGCTATTTTTCACAAAATGCTCATGAAGTAATGGGTTAAGTTGGGAATGATTTCTGTTAAACTTTTATATATTTTCATCATTACTTTCGTTTATTATTTTCACATTTTCAATTTTTCAATTCAGAGCATGAGTATTAGCCAAAGATAGAGTTTTGGCCAAAGGTAGGTCACTGTTTAATAGCCATTGAGAACAAAGGGTCTGCCATTCAAGCCGTCACTCTCTGTCCTAGGGGCTCCCACAGCACTCTTGCACACTTAAGGTCCACTTGCCTTGGCTTTAGTCTAGACATCGGCAGTTGGTCTGCAGTTACAAGTCCTGGTCATTGTTTCTTTGTCTCCATCCCAAGTTCTTAAGATCTGCCAATGCCCTGTGCCTTCTCTGTGATGAAGTGACCCAATGCCTCCGTGGTCGAGGGGTTAAAGTCGATGACTTCTAATCCAGTTACCTCTCTGGCGAGGGTTCGATCCCCAGGAGATGCTTTGGTAGTTTAGCACAGAGGAAGGTAGTCTAGTACTGGTGTAACTCTAGGAGCGATGGTTAGGAAACTACCCGCCTATATTTCTGAAATACTATTGGGAAAAAGGGTAAAATGAAACGAACAAACAGACACCAGACCCATTCCCAATGGCATATATCCTTATTTTTTCCTGATCTTTAAAAAAAGAGCCTGGGGCAGTCTAATCAAACTAAAATTTCTTGATATCAAAACAGACAAATTGCTGCTGTCCATTCCAGTATCATGTATGGTATCACATAATTAGACAGAATGTTTCCACACATTTCATTGTCAAATTTTAACGTGTTTTGCACAATTCAAAATACTTTGCCAAAAGAGCATGAAGATTGTTTCAAAAGGTACAAGATTTGGTCAGCCCAGGGCTTATAAAAGTCACAGATAATTGGAAAAAAATATCTTTCCAAAAAAAAAAAAAACATTAGTCTGACAACATGACAGATGACTGTCCATAGTCAAAGGTGGATTTTTTTCATTGAACAATTTAATCTCCAATTAATTGACAGACCTGTGGCTTATCCAAAAGTTCTATTCAAGTGAAAAGATTAATTAAAGATAATTTATCATTGCCAAAAAAAACTTTTAAGTCCCAAGCAATTGTTGCATGTCTGTTTCTTTTAATGATTCTGTGTTTGCCCATATATGGGGATCTAGAATAAAAATAATAAATATCTTGTAACATTTGTTTGATGTTTAAATTGGCCAAATTGTTGTTAAAATAGAATCCAACCTGGTCAATGACCCAATTCATTTCAAATCAATTTAAATGGACTGTTGGCTTTTTTTAACTGTGTCATAAACACATGATTAAAAATATTGTCTATTTTAGTGAGTGTACATGATTACATGTTGTATTTAGGTTAGTTTACTAGGCATTTTCACCCTATTACCGTGGAAATAAGGCCCAATGCCCAATCCAAAATACCCTCTTTTTTCCCCAATTTAATTTTTAGAAAACAAAACATTCCCATGTATAAACCATTTAAATACTAAGTGACTGTTCAAGCTTACACCTCTTGACTCTAGCAGACTGGCCAGATAGCAAGTACTGTATTACTTGTTACAAATATTTCTTAACTCTTGAGACTTTATACATTTTATCTGATAGTGTTATCAAACTTGAAAAAAATTAGCTTAAAGATTACAAGTACTTTAGACAAGGGAAGGAAAAAGCAGCTGTTTTGTTATCAAAAGATACTTTCAGATACAATGTAGTTTAGAAATTAGTTGCATTTTTGTCCATTTTATTTAGTTGAAGAAATGAAACATAGAATTTGTAATATATTGTCTAAAATCAACTTACATGTAGTAACAAACTGTGAAACATACTTAATTTCTTATTTTACTTTTCAGATATATAGACAATGGCTAACAAAGAACCTAAAATCGTCAAAAGGTTTCCAAAGCGTCTTTTGTCAAGTTTTCGTAAAGGAAAGAAGTTAAATTTACCTGCTGGGAAAAATGAGCCTCTTGTGGACTCCGATGAAAGGACTGGATTTACTTCATATGACATTGAGAATGCTCAAAATGAAAACGCTACTATAAATTTGGAAGCTTCTATTGTTCTCACAACTCCTAGAAAACAAAAATATTCTGAAAGAGGAAATATTAGCGCTTTAGTTACTCCGAAAAGAAATTTAAGAAGTGTTTTACATACGGATTCAAATGATGTAGCAAATAATTTATCACCTCCAGCAGTGGAGAGGCTTGTGCTAGGAGGGCCAATGAGTGCCAGTGCCGATAGCGGTATAGACTGTAGCATATTGCTGTCAGAGAGGAACAGTCCGGAACAGTTTGTGGCGTTTACGAGACGCGAGGCAGAGAGACTGAGGCAGGAGCAATTACATAATGCCTCAGTTCTAGAAACCCTTAATGAAACTGATAGAAGCTCTGGTGATGATTGTGATACTGATAACTTGAATAGTGGAGCTGGTGTGGCGATAGGTACAGGAAAAGAGAATGAAGCGAATAATGAACAATTGATTGGGGCAGAAGGAGGTTTAAGTTTAGATGAGACTTTGTGCAAAGTAGGTTACTCCTCGAGCAAAATAGCATGTGACACCCTTCCTCCTCCACCACCATGCATAGGGGCCTCAGCGTGCGAACAAACAGACACTTTGACATCTGATTATATTCAGGAGAATTCTGATAATTTGTCAGGTGGAAATTTAAATAATTTGGGCGGAGATTATGTCATGTTAGCTGAAAACAGTTATACAGAAGCATCTCCTATTGTAGATGTAACTGGTATTATATCAGAAAACATGAGGAGAACCAAAGAAACTGAAAAATCAGAATCTGTTAGCAGAAATATTGGCATAAATTACTCTTTAAGCTCACCTTGTGATACAATAGAAATGGAAGAGACTCCTGAAAGTGTTGTCAGCAGTGAAAATGTTACAACTGATCAACAAAGTATTAATACTGATAAGAGCTATTTGCATTACTATGCCAACAGAACGGATGAAATCAAATCGGCAGAGGCCAGATTCAGAAACGAGCAGTCAGCTGGTACCTCAATACACCTGTCAGTGTCACATGACATAATTAATCCAGTTCCCATAGTAACACCTAGTGTAGCCACTCACCGTGTTCTACAGTCTACTCCAAGTCCCGCTAGGTTATATGTGAATGAAAACAGTGCGTTTGCTAAGTGTAAGTCATTGAAAAGAAGTGTTAGTGATGTGGGTAAAGGTATTTTAGGACGATTCAGACATCGCAGCAAGGATAGCAGGGCACAGAAAGAATGTGATAATACTGTTGAAAACACCAAAGAAAAGAAACTGCATGGTAAGAAAGCAAAACAAACTTCTAGAAAAAGACACAATAGTGAAAAATCATTAAAGGTGACAACAAGTTCAGTCAGTTATTCACAAATAAAATTCAAGAAAAAACAGTCTCTAAAGTCACCTGTTACAAAAGAAATTCTGCCAACAGGAGGAAAGACAAGTAATGAAGCTGGTGGTGATTTGGGTAATCCAAAGCAGTCGCCAGTTTTCAAGGAGATTTTGAGCCACAGCGTAAAGGAAGAGTTGGAAGCAAGCTTTAACAGACAATCTTTTCCGTTGGAAACAGAATCAAAATTTAAACAACGATGCTCTCCAGTCGTAATGGAATCCATCGAGGATATGACTAGTAGTATTAGTAAGATGACGTCTGCTCTGTGTGCAAGCTCTGCCGAAAGCATTGCTTGCATTTGTGATTGTAAGAACAGATTTTCTGACCCGGAATGCTGTGAAAAAAGAAAAACGCCTTCTCCACATGGGTCACTGGAATGTAATGATCAGAGAAAAACACCTCCACTTGAGGGTAGTGAACATTTTGAAAATACTAAGTCAGATTGCAAAGCAGCAGTAAATGTTGTTGATGAAAAGGAAACTTTAAACTCGTACACATGCCCTACTCTTGAAAATGAAATAACTGAATATTCGCCCCTTATTGATCGTGGCAATGCTCAGAAAAATAAGGGTGAGAATTTACCGGAGGCAAGTGCATTGTTCTGTAATGATACTGATGATACAAGTGATGATAGTTGTGATGAATGTTACTCTGATAATTCTGATGATGATGACGGTGAATGTTCAGATTTAGACTGTTCCAATTGTTGTAATGTTTCACCGAACACCGGAAATGTAAATTTGCTAAGCAGTAGCAGTTCCGGTTCTGAGTGTAGTTTAATAGACTCGTGTGAAAATCTTGCAATGAATGGTAGAATGAATAAAAGTAAGAAATTAGAAAATTCTGGATCGGGATCTTCTCAAAGTTCAAGTTCATCTTTCATGTCAAATGCAGGTTCCAGTAACTCAAGTGGTAATTCTAGTCCAAGTATAGAGGAATACAGTTTTAATATGGAGAATTCGTCTTTCTCAGTCAGTTTTAAGGAGATTGATTTTGAAAACGGTGATGTAATGTATATAGAAAATAACATTGGGGATGATTTTGAAGAAAGACAGTTGCCTGAGTCTGATGATAGTTTTAAACTTTCCTCAGTTTGTGCAACACCAGTTTCTAGTCCTAGAGTATACATGGATGAGTCCCTCGAGAATAGTCCATGCATAATAAACCCTGATATCATAAACTCTTGTCAAAATACAAACTATCGTAATAAACACCCTGAGGATCATTCACCGAAACTTATTCAAAAGTCTATACCTGCTAATTGTGTGAAAGAAAACAATGAAGATTTGACATCTTCACCATCTTTGAGTGTGGAAACAAGTCCGACACCTTTAAATCTTAGTCAAAGCTCATCTTTTACCAATGTTAGTTTTGAGGGAAGTTTTGCTGATGTTAGCTTTTCAGTTCACAATCAGTCTTCAAGACAAAGAAGTAAAAAGTCATCTGAAAAAACTGTTCATGAGAATTCTTTTATAAATGACCAATCTAAAATAGACAATGACAAATGTGAAAAATTTGATTATAGTTTGTCAGAAAGCTTTAACAGGTTGAATGACAGCATGGGTGGACAAGGTTCTAGATATAAATCTAGGCCAGTTCGAAGAGGGTACAATACAAGCCTTAGTTCGTTGAATGATTCTAGACTATTACAAAACACTTTACGTAGAAACCACAATCGGATGAACGACTCTTGTGTTTTAAATGATTCTTTATCTTTTAATCATAATACCAGTGTAGGGAGTTTGAATAGAAATGTTAGAAGGAGGCAAAACCTTTATAGACATAGTCTAAACTCTTCAAACTTATCCACCAGTCAAATTAACGAAAGTTTTGATAGGTTCAATACAAGTCGTGTAAGCTATCTCGAACCCTCCGAGTCTCCCATGACATCGCCTTTAGATCTCTCAATTAACAGAGGTAAAGCAACAAGTCTAGATAGGTCTATGACTAAGAAATCAGACAAGCATTGGGTGGACCGACACGTAGGGCAAGTGTTTTCTCCAGCAAAGAGAGTGTTACATAAAAACAGTGGATTAAGCGAGTCTGATTTGTGTAAACAGATTCTAGATTTGTATGTAAGTGATGCTGATGAGTCTGGTTTCAATATACCAGATATTGATGTATCACTGAATGAGTCTCATAGTCATAATGTAAGTCAGGATCATGGCAACGGTAGTGCGAGGGTTGACAGCTTTGCCAGTACAAATCTTGATGATTCTAGCAGTGATGAAGACCGTCCAGGATTGCATTATGGGACGTACGTGGCCCCTAGAAATGTCGTCAAGGAGACGAATGTTGATGATTTTACAACTACAACTGTCTGGACTTGTTATACTGGTGAGGCAAAGACCAGAAAACTGCAAGGTATTATATAAATCACCTTTCTTATATAATTTTACAATATTTATGGCCTATTGTGAATATTATTATACATGTAATTAAAGTTCAGGTAAGTTTCATTCTCAGTCGCTCGAGAAGGAGCATCCGTGGCCGAGTTGTTACTGTTGTTGTCATGAAGCCACTTGCCTCTCATTGATTTAGGTTCAAGTCCCTTTGGATTCTTTTATGTGAGGAAGCTATCCAGACCCTTACGGTAAGGGCACCTGAGGTCTTTTTCCATCAGTAAAGCTGGAAAGTCCCCATATGACCTTTCTGTGTTGGTGCGATGTAAAACCCAACCAAGTTGCACAAGAATTTAAAAGCATGTGTTGGTCTTGCATCCTTTTTCTTCAATGACATTGCTGTGAAATAGGTCTTGACCTTGACATCAGTTTTTCTCTAAAATGTTTAAATGAGCTACTGATTTATTATTCATTTAGTTGTTTTTAAGGTAGATTATAAGATATTTAAGCAAGTATTTTAGTAGCAGGTCAGAAGCATTTCCATGCAATATGAAGAGCTGGATACTGCTCAAGTTGCTTTGTTGATATTGATACTTTAGTAAAAAGTTCAGTTCCAATGTCAAAAGACCAGTGCTTTAAAAACTAAACAAAGTAACTGAGCTTAGGAAAGATTGCTTTTGTCTTATTTTGATGCAATGGTGTTATAATATTATATACATTGTATATCAACATTTATTTTTTAGATAAATCTGGAAGTGCACATTTGAGGGGTGAGGACAGACGAAAGGCAGCTCTTAATGAACTTCACAATATGTCTATGGAAAAAACATCTAAGGTAAATTGAAATAGTTTATACCTGTAAGCTCTTATTTGGTGGTAGCACCACTGAAACTGGAAACTTAGTGGAAAGACAGTGTAAGTGTGAATTTAAATCCAACCCATTATTAAAATCAGTGTTAAATAATACTTCAGTTCAAAAAGCCTTCCTTTTTTAAGATTGAATTTTAATAGGAAAGACTGAACTTAAGTTTTATTCAATATAGTTTTATCTTAAAATCCTCCAAAGATATAAGAAGGTAAAGTCCAGTTTTCAATCTGTCATATGTAGAGCTGTCATCCATATGTATCATAAAGATATTTTTCTGTGGATCATTAAGTGAAACACATTTAAAAAAATCTATAATTTTGATTAATTATTCTAATGTCTATGAATAATGAAAACTCACCCAAAACATTTACAAAAGCAGGAGACCATGTCTTTAACACTAAGCTGTTGTTACATAATGGACACATTTCATAGTGATGATGACAAAAAATGGTTAGGAAAGAATCATGCAAAGGACATTTTTAAACAGGACACAACATATTTGTAAGAACAGAACATATATTTTACTAAAATCATTTAAACCGGTATGAAAGTGAATTATATACAAGAAATTAGGAGTATATATATCGATATATTGGTGTATCGCCAATATTTGTCATCCGATATCGATGTATCGTCAATAAGCTTTGCAATGGATCAATGACAGCTCTAGTCATATGCAATGTTAGAAATTTGATACAATTGCTATTAAGTGCATATCATTTATAAAATGAACTAACTACAGGTGTTCTACAATGTATTTTTCTTCTTAGACTCAAGTTTTTAAAATCTGTTAAAATGTTTTTTAAGTGACACAGGTGTTTTATTTTCTTCCTAGAAAATTGTTGAAACAATTTACCGGTAGTTAGTACATGTTGTTAACATTTATGAGTGGCATTTTGGTTTGGTCTCGATAATCTATATAAAAATCCATCATATATATATCATGTTATGTAAGATTTATGTATTTAGTATTGGCAATCTGCTTCATTTAAAAAATTATGAAATGTTATATGTATAGGAAATTTCTATAAATACAATGCAAGGTTGAAAACGTGTGTGGTTAAAGGTATGTACTTTATCAAAGTTGTTATGAAAGACATATCAGCACCTCAGTGCAGTAACAGGTTACTCTAGTAAGTCCTTTAAATATAATTTGAGTTAAACAGTTATTGCACTAAGGTGATGATATAATGGCATATATCTATGCGATATAGCATAAATTAAGATTAAGTTTTTGCTGAGATGATAATTTCTTTCTTTGTAAATAAAAAGAACAACAAATAAATAGATTAATGGCAAATAGAATCTGATGTAAAATGGTCCTTAATGGTTATTAAGACTACTTACTTTGATCTGGAAGTTGTATTTGTTGGAATTTTGTTACGCCTGTATCACATGATGCAGGGAAGTATGAAATGTGATCTGGTTGTGTGAAATCCGATTTTAGGTATTTTTACATCATGCCTGTTTCATTTCATATTTGTATTTAACCATATATTCAACAAAATGATGTTATATGAACAATGTTGCACTTGTATTTCATCTGTATTGTATTTGTTTTCTGCCTATAACACTCGCAAGAGGGGTTTGCAGTACTCAGAGATAGAAATACAATAATTATAATGTAGGGACATAATATTATGTAGGTATTTAACATAGACTAATAATTTTTATTGAACTTTTTTCAGAACCGATCAGTTGATGAAAGTCCTACGAAACATGGCAAGGTCAGAGGTCGTGAAGCCCTGCAGGACCAAACCAACACCAAACGTAGATTGTCAACTCTTGATATGCCGGTATGCATTTCTGATTTGTTAGTTTTACTTTTAAGATTATACATGTTTCAGTGTAAGATCAAATTATTAGTTACTAAGTGAACACCACAGTCATGAAGTCTATATCTCCCATAGTTCATACTTTTCAAGACAGGCGTTAACATAAATTCTACTAAATATGTGTAATTGATTTGCTTGACTTGTTATCTTTAAAAGATTTCAGTATGTCTCTCCTTTTTTTTGCCAGCTTAGCTTAATAGTGTGTGTGTCCAGAGGTTGTTATTTCAATCCTTAGGTGAGGCAGAATTTCTCTGTGACAACTGATCTTGGACATTGAGTGTTAGTAGATTTATATATTTATATATATATTCAGCCTAGATTTATATATTTATATATATATTCAGCCTAGATTTATATATTTATATATATATTCAGCCTAGATTTATATATTTATATATATATATTCAGCCTAGATTTATATATTTATATATATATTCAGCCTAGATTTATATATTTATATATATATTCAGCCTAGATTTATATATTTATATATATATTCAGCCTAGATTTATATATTTCAGCCCAGTTTAAGTGACAGTATCACAGCAGAGGGTGTTCAACAAGATATCAGGGAAAACAGCAGGAAGGCAATGAAAATGGTAAAGATTTTTTTTTTTTGCTCGACTATTCGAAGAAACAGGGCTCTCCTACTTACCCAGGTGTCAGTGTTTGCGTTAGAGTAACATTTTAGTTAAAGTTTTTCTGCAACTTTTTGTACAGCCATCTCATGGGTAAAGATTTTTTTTTTTTGCTCGACTATTCGAAGAAACGGGGCTCTCCTACTTACCCAGGTGTCAGTGTTTGCGTTAGAGTAACATTTTAGTTAAAGTTTTTCTGCAACTTTTTGTACAGCCATCTCATGAACCATTGAAGATATTAGCTTGTATCTTCACACACTGAGATCATTATAGGTGGTCACCAAGGATTTTGACAGAATTATGGCCTTTGTGAACTCTTTAGTCAAAGTTTTGTATGCAATATCATTCTTCAAAACTACTGAAGATTTTCAGTTTAAACTTAACACTTGTACTTGTTTTCAAGATCATTATGAGAGGTCAATGTCAAAGGCCAATATCTCTGGCATGGATTTTATCTTTATGGCCCCTTGTGAACTTAGAACATAGAAAATTCTTGGTTAAAGTTTGCAAGCAACATCAGTCTTAAAAACAATTGAAGGTGTTCACTTTATACTTAAAACATATCTCACTGTCACAGATCTTGTAGGTCACTTATCTAACTTTGATATGGATTCTTCATTAAACTTAAAGATTAAAATCAGTCTTCAAAACAAGGGAATCGTTTTAAAACTTTACATAGGGCTTTAGATCATAATTGGTTGCTGCTGAAAATGTATCACAAATTTATTAGGATATCTTGTTTGTTCTTCGTTATAATATTGTAATAGAGTCTATGTACATTTGACAATAACAAAGGTCATGAAATTTGTCATGTGATATAGCTTTATTAACAATTTATTTTTAGAATACTACCCTTCCTAAATTGAATTGGTAAACCTTTAAAGAAAATTTTTTTACTAACCAGAATCTGGTCCGAGGATATATATTTTTTACCAAACACGTTTTTCTTAAAGGGAGACACAGGCAAAATTTTCATTTCTTAGTTTTGAATTTTTCATTCATTATTCTGTAAATGTCCTCAAAGTAGATACAACAGGCAGTAAAAGGAAAAAAACTTTTCTTCTTATAAAGAAAAAAATGAAGGTTACCTAACTTGACCCGCGTGGGTCAGGTTAAAGCTGTTAGATTTCACAATAGTTGTTACAGTGAACTATGGGAACATTTAGGAACAAATGAAATGAATGACTTAGACTTGTTTCAATCATACAATATCCAGAAAATCTGTTATTGTAGCTTCCAGTTTGTATTGAAATTGGCTAAGAATGGTAGTTTTAAAACTACTTGGTGATTATGTTTGTGTATAAATTTTGTTTAAAATATACAGATATATTTACTGTTCAAATCCAAAATATATGGAATTTATCCAGAAATTTATGCTAAGACTTTAGTAAATGTCATTTTAGCGTGATTTGAGTACATACAATCATTTTAATATTTTTATCATTAACTGTTGAAACATTTAAACAAGGCAATATGAGAATCAATGTATCACATGGTTTCAATACTGAAGCCTCTCAAGTAAAGTATTTATTCACATGACATTATAAATATAATGAATATAATTAAAGTTTATATGAGTTGAGAAGAACAAGCAGAGTTCTGGCTGCATGGTATGGTGTCAGGGGATCATGCTTGCATGGGCCTAGGGGCAATGTCCTAATTTCTTGTGCTCAGTGGCCTGATTTTTGTGTGGAAAAAAGCAATAACATTGTTGTTCCGGGAGAAAAAAAACAACACATTTCATAAAGAAAATTATTTAGTAAGTTTTATTATGATGATTATCTGCTAATAAGTCCTCATAGAGGTTCATTGGATAAGCTAATATAATATTTGCCCTTCTTCCATGTGACCAAATTCTTCAGCAGAAACTAACAAGCTCACTAGAAATAAGCAAACACTTGATGTTGAATACCATGAATTAAAAACTACATAAAATTTTCTTGAAATTTGAAAAGTTAATAGATGGTAATATGGAGATTATGCACATTGTTTTATTTTCCTCATGTGTTGAGAAATGTGGTTGCCATGGCAACAAATACATAATTAATACTGTCATCTAGACCCTGTTCATATAAAGAAAGTACCCTGTTTGTACTCAAGAAATATTTATAGTTTGTATTTATATGCTTCCACATATGAAAATGGTTGATGACCTAAGAAAATGATGTACCCTGTCAAAACAGTATCGTGATATATCTATAAAAAAGTATAATTTCTTGTACTAAACTGAAAGTCAAAATGAATACCTTTATTGAAAGACTGGTTTAATACTATGATTGTCAGATGTGTGGCTGTTTTAGTTATTACCCGTTATAAATCTAGATACCCGTAATACTGAATATCTTTTCTACTGACATTAAAAATAGTGCTTGGATTGTTATCATACTCAAAGAAATCAAAATCATGTTTATAGATATGTTTAAGTTGTTCTAATAACTCCGGTTTAACACTACTATATATTTCAATTAGAGCCTCAGTCCTCTGTTTTTTTCTCTCACTATATGGCGTTTTCTCTTTCGTTGTCCGTACAAGGTTAATGAACTCTTGTACACTTATATTTTCAGCTTGTTCTGCAGTTAAAGGTAACTCTTCCTTTCCTATCACACCTCGAATTTGTAATTTTTTCCATATTCTTTTGAGAGCTTCAAGCCAGGGTATACACCGCTTGATTGTAGCTTTCCATGCAAAAGGGGAAGTAACTGTGTCTTGTAGTGCATCTTCATCAGCTAATTGTTTCCCTTGCTTGGTTAATGTTTCTATTGCTCTACTTAAGTTTAGTTTTTCGTATAAGAAATAGGAATCAGTGGCAAATTGCTCCATTTTTCCAACAAAGTTCATCTTAAGTTCACATGGATGGCAGGTACTGAGGTAATTTGAGTCGTGACAGTCTGCTGAACCGAATTCTGCATTTTGTATATGAGATACTACGACAGTTTTGACATATTCCTCAAATGATACATCTGACCTACATTTTGTCTTTCCATGTCTATGTACTGTATCTATTTTAAGCTTACGAAGAATATTCCTCCAAATTTCCCAAAATGTCGGATTTGGGGCAAATATTTTATCAACGTAAGCAGACAAAATCCGTGCATATGGATCTCGTACAAACATGAATTTAAAGTAATTGTCATACGGCGTCCCGGACGTACCTACAGCAATTTGTAATCTTTCTCCAGTTGGTTTGGCATTACTTAGAGGGATATCGTACGGTGAGAGAATACTGGTATCATTATTGTACATGTCTAACATCTTAAAAAACTTCGTCCAATATGTGGATGCTAGTTTACACATAGGACAGAAGAAAAGATTGTAGTGGGCGTTTGTTGTTATTGGGAATTTCTGAGTCCTCTTCCGTAAAGTTGGCAGGTAATCTTGGCATTTTACACTCATCCTTCCAGCCAGAAGCACTGGCGGTGACTTTTCTATTGGAATTTTTACCTGAAAATAGGCGGAAAAATTAGTAGAAGTTTGAAAATATCACATGTGAGAAAATGGTAAATAAATCCAGTGTGAGAGTATTTAAAGCAGCATACTTCCAGATTTATGCTTTAATATTTTCATTAAAATTACGAAAATGTATTTAAGAGAAAAATATTGTGAAGTGAACAAAAAATGTTATTTACACTTTGCAAACGACACTCACTTTCCAAATGACACTTACAAATACAATCCACATAAATGACATAAAAAGGACAAAATAAGCAAAAATAGCCCTTATATTAACACATGACAAAACCAACAGAATGATTAATTCAAATGTGACCTTGACCTTTAATTGACCTTGACCATCAAGGTCAAATATGAAATTTAAATTTCATTTGTTGCCAAAAAATTATGTTTTGTAGGAGAAATCTTTACTCTAAAAGTCTTCCTTAAATGTGTTTGACTTTAGAAATTGTGGTCCGTACTAGGCAGTGGATCTTGTGTTTCCTAGAATACTACAATATTCTTCCTTCAATGTGTTTGACTTAAGGAAGGACTTAACAAAGCTCTTAATTATTATTATTTATAATTGAACTCAAATGTATGCACAATGACTTTAAAGTGTACATTATATTCCTGAACAGTCAAGCGACAATTATGACTCGAAAGTGACATCAGATTTCATATTTGCAATCCTACTCATATTTTATAATGGCCTTAGTTGAATTCAGAGCAGGTCAAAGCCATTGACACAGTTTCAGCAGAAAAATGTGTAAGTTATAAAATATGTGTGAACTATATAGAAATAATAATGTGCAATGTACATGTATATAGATTTATATACATAAAATAATGTACATATAAATGATAAAAATAAAATAAAATAATAAATATAGCTATATAGCATTTGTGCTGTTGTATGTTAAATTTGTCGGACACTTTTCAATTGTTGAATGTTGAAACTTTAAGCCTGATTGTGTGAACTTATTCTACACAGGTGACCAGTGCAGACCCAACCCACAGAGACCAAGATTAGCCCGCACACCCGTGTGGTCTGCTCATGCTCTACACTGTTTTCGCTTTAATTCTCTCAATACTTAAATTGAAAATTTCCCTTAGATGATGAATCATGAATGTTTTTGTCCAGAAAGAACAATGGACGAGTCCATTTTAAGATTATTGGGGTATAACAAATTTGATATTAAATTATATGCTGGTATTTTAAGGCACCAACCAGTATTTAGTCTGGACTAGGTTGCAAGGATGTGCACAAAAATCAACAAAAATTAAAGCCAGTTAGCCTTCGCCACGAAGTAGGTTCCTTCAGAGCTTAGTGCTCTACTGATTGAGCTATTACGATATTTAATTTTCGCTTTTACAATTATCAGTTGAAAGTACAATCAATCAGAACATGCTACATTTCTTTTACCTATATAGTATTAAAATTGACTGTTCCATACTATAAATAGTTATGAAGATATTTCTGTTCACATGCTCGGATTATATCTGTTTTATGTTTTTTAATGGAATAACAAGGTTATATAGTTTTGAACTTTCCTTTGTTTCGACTGGAAATAAACATGCAATACCAGCTTCTGTGGTATTACCATACCTGATGTTTTTCTTGTAATGTTTTTGACACCTCGTCTCTATTCTTCTTTACAATGACCTTTGACGCACCTTTCCTTATTCCTGTAATATAAAATGAAATGACTAACAATTTCAAATTGTATGTAAAACTATCTGAAATACATGTATGTCTTCAGGCGTTACTCTGCTGAAACCAAAAGCAGGTAGCCTTCGTCACCAGTATAAAGCCAGGGTCTTTTAAAACATTTATACCTTTATTTTTATGAGAAAAAACATTGCACATATTATTTTCAATTTTATTATCAAACTAAATCATGATTCAGACAATTTTGTTATTGGATATTTATTTTGTATGATGCATGTTATGGTGTAAAATTTACACAGCATTATGAATTTGTTGACGCAACCGATTTGCGAATAATAGCGAAAGTTAAAATGTCGCAAATAATACCCAATTTACAGTATGATTGTGAAAATCCCCAAATACAATGTTTTAGATCTTAACTGTGTCAAACTATCAAAATTTTTGTTTGACCTTTTATATTCAAATTATATTTATTCCCTACTGTGCATTATGATATAAGGGGTGTAGCAGTTATGATTTAACAGTATTTAAAGAGAAACAGACAAAAACATTTCATCATTTTTAGGGAAAATTTCAAAATTGTATGTACTGACTCATCCTCAGTAACTCAGGCTATTTATCGTATACATGTTTCGGTAAATATTAATATTAAATGTAGTTATATACAGAATGTGTAACGTGGGTTCCGACGCTGGTACTGAATAGTGAACAGTGCAGACCATGATCAGATGGCATTGAATATTGTGCTGACTGTTGGTGCTAACTGATCTTGATTGGCTACTGATTACATTAAATTTTGTAGATTCTATTGCCGCCGCCACGGCAGGCTTGGTGAAAACATGAAAAGAAATTAACATTGGAACAGACTTAATGTGAAACATCTTTGGCTATGTTTGTTTTGTTTTTTAAAGCTTAGAAACCTTTGTATTTCAATTTTTAATTATTATTAGTTTTTTTTTAAAGAAATAAAATTAATGCTACAAAAATGACAATATAAAAAGCTTCATATATGTATAGTAAAATTAATCGCTTATACAGTATGTATAGTAATTGTCTTTAAAAAAAAAAACACACAATGAAACATGTTCTACTTTCATTATGAATTAATTAAGTTACTTTAGTACATGTTAATACACAAGTTACAGTATTTTAGAATTCATTCATTTGATATTTCAATTTGTATTTGAAATCATCTGCCATCTATAGTTTATATACAGAGTTTTAAGAAATAAATTTTCGAGCGAACAAAGTGAAGTGACAGACAGTTAGCACCGCCCATTCAAATTGACTGCATTATGTTAATAGGTGGAGTCTATTAAATGGGCTCATTTAATGTACAAATTTAATACATACAGTTGAGTTACAGCACTGTATGGTAAATATTTTGGCAAAATTAAAACAAAATAGAGTGATTTCATTGGCAGACAAACTGGCGAACTAGAACGAAACAAAGAATAAACTAAATAAACATGTATATTTTGTACTTGCTAAGCTTCCCATTGTGTAACCAATGACAGGAAGTGATGCCACCCATGTAACCAGTGCAGACCCAAGATCAGTCAGCACTTTCAGCTGATCATGGTGTGAATTGTTTGTAATTGACAGTCAAGTTATATTTTAAAATCATCATTTAAAGTGATGAATTGTTTTGTACATATTGAAAAATGGTAAAAAAAAAGATAAAAAAAAAGTCCATTTAAGATGTCAAGGGTGTCAAATAATGTGAAGGAATATCAGTAATTTGTGTAAAAATAAATTAAGTTAAGCTTAACAAATATTTGGTTTGAAGGAAATGTATTCTTTCCAAAAAAAATTTTTTGATTAAAAATAAAAAAAAAACATAAAGAAAAAGAAATCATAAAAAAACCCAACAAATCAGACATACATAAAGATTGGTCAAACTGCATGACTTACTCAGACCAACTTGAAAAATTTCTTTAATTTCATTTTGGAGAACTTTATTATTGCCAAGTGAAATATCAATATGTACCAGTATAAATGCGCCAAATTCAAATTGCAATTTGCCCTTTCATTTATTCCAAAAACAAAATTTGCAATGGACTGTTAATATAAAAAGATCTCTGTTTTAGTATATTTAAGACAGTAAGAAAAGTGTTTCAACATAAAGAAAGTAGACATAATTGTAGTAGTGTTAAAAGGCTCCATTCATAATTATATATAGAGAAAAAAGGTTAAAATAAGGCACTTTAAGGTTTTAGTTGTAATTTATAGTAACTGTTGAACAATTAGTTGAACTTCCTTGAAATAACGAGATTTTGCCAAGTGTGTTACTTTAATTAATGTGACGTGACCTTCAAGCACTTAAGTCTTACGAGATTTTGGATAAATTGGTATTTGCTTACTAACGCATGTTTATTTTGAATTCTGACTGAAAGTTTGTGTACTTTTTATTTCCCCTTGTCGGTCTGTCTGTGCATGTGTGCTTCTGTCTGTTTCATGTTGTGTCACATGTAGCTGTTAAAGAGCTTTAAGCTTAAGGGTCAATAAAGTTTATTATTTAATTTTACCCATGAAATATGGTGCTATATCAATCAAATATATTTCATATTCTTTAAAAATATGAAAGAGGGCGGAGTCAAAACTCATATTTATTTTAAGGGACTTCTTTCGCCGTTTGTTTGAAAAATCTGATGAAAACAAAAAAACTTTTTCTTGAATATTGTTTTGAAAACTATCTAGCATGATAGACAATGGTCTAACTAAGAAAATTAATCCGAACACCAATATCTTTAATTCAGTAATTAACGTTGTACAGACGTTTAAAGAGTTGTTTTTAGCTCACCTGTCACAAAGTGACAGGGTGAGCTTTTGTGATCGCTTTTCGTCCGGCGTCCGTCGTCCGTCGTCCGTCCGTCGTCCGTCGTCCGTCGTCCGTAAACTTTTACTTTAAATGACATCTCCTCATAAACCACAAGGCCAATTTCATCCAAACTTCACAGGAATGTTCCTTTGGTGGTCACCTTTAAAAATTGTTCAAAGAATTTAATTCCATGCAGAACTCTGGTTGCCATGGCAACCGAAAGAAAAAACTTTAAATATCTTCTTTTAAAAAACCATAAGAGCTAGAGCTTAGATATTTGGCATGAAACATCTTCTAGTGAGTGTCTACCAAGTTTGTTCAAATAAAAGCCCTAGGGTCAATATTGGCCCCGCCCCGGGGGGTCATTGATTTTCCCTATATGCATATAGTAAAAACTTAAAAAATCTTCTTTTAAAGAACCCAAAGAGCTAGAGCTAAGATATTTGGCATGAAACATCTTCTAGTGATTGTCTACCAAGTTTGTTCAAATAAAAGCCCTGGGGTCAAAATTGGCCCCGCCCCGGGGGGGTCATTGATTTTCCCTATATGCATATAGTAAAAACTAAAAAAATCTTCTTTTAAAGAACTCAAAGAGCTATGGCTAAGATATTGAGCATCAAACATGTTCTAATAGGTGTCTACCAAGTTTGTTCAAAGAAAAGCCCTGGGGTCAAAATTGGCCCCCCAGGGGGTCATTGATTTTCCCTATATGCATATAGTAAAAACTTAAAAAATCTTCTTTTAAAGAACCAAAAGAGTTAGAGCTAAGATATTTAGCATGAAACATGTTCTAATAAGTGTCTACCAAGTTTGTTCAAATAAAAGCCCTGGGGTCAAAATTGACCCCGCCCAGGGGGGTCATTGATTTTCCCTATATATGCATATAGTAAAAACTTAAAAAATCTTCTTTTAAAGAACTCAAAGAGCTATGGTTAAGATATTTAGCATCAAACATGTTCTAATAGGTGTCTACCAAGTTTGTTCAAATAAAAGACCTGGGGTCAAAATTGGCCCCGCCCCGGGGTCATTGATTTTCCTTATATGTGTAGAGCAAAAACTTAAAATCTTCTTTGAAAAAACCCAAATAGCTAGAGTTTAGATATTAAGCATGAAACATATTCTAGTAAGTGTCTACAAAGTTTGTTCAAATAAAAACCCTGGGGTCATAACTGGCCCGGCCCCAGGGGTGTCATTGTTTTTAACTATATGTGTATAGTAAAAACTTAAAAAAAATCTTCTTTTAAATAGCCCAATGAGCTAGAGCTTAGATGTTTAGCATGAAACATCTTCTTATGGGTGTCTACCAAGTTTGTGCAAATAAAAGCCCTTTGGTTAAATTGGCCCTGCAACGTTTGGCGGGGGGATGGGGGTTGGGGGGCCTATATACAGGTGAGCGACCTCAGGGCCATCATGGCCCTCTTGTTTTACATGACGTCACAATGTAGCGCCAAACAGCGCGTGCTTACGCATAAATTACTGCGCTCTGTACAATTGCAGTTGGTAGCAAGCAAAGGCATTCGTTACCATTTTCTTTGATAATGAAATTAAATAAAAATGTTATTTTTTCGTTTTCCGTTAAATATGGTATATATTTTCACTCAACATGATAAAATGCCACATATTTTCACTCGCCGTACCGGCTCGTGAAAATATGTGGCATTTTATCATGTTTCGTGAAAATATATTCCATATTTCACGCAAACGAAAAAATATCCTCTTAGTATTCTAAAAACTCATAGAAATATAGCGCATGTATATTTTGTGCATTATATCACTACTTTCATGTCTTATATAAGATTTGAAGTTGATCTTGCTGTAGGTGTTAACAATAATTGTAAAATAAAGTTCCCTCTGGTGAAAAACAATTCTGTCCACTCCTCTTGTATTCATGGGGAGTGCTTGAAGGTTACATTAGTGCCGTATTACTTCCCGATCCTATCTAAACTGTTCATGTTATTTCATATGTTTATTGATTAGTCGGTAAGGTATTGTGCAAGATGTGAATATAAATACATTTGATATCCCTTAACTTGCTGAATTTGTGAAATGGATTTCCCCCCTGCCTAGAATTTGTTGGAACAGTCGAAATGACTTAATAAGGAATTTTATTGCAATAAAAAAATACGAAAATTGAGCTGCCAACAGTTAAGGGAATTTGTGTATCAACTTCATTCAGCATTTTACCTATATAAATTATCCTAAAAAAAATGATTGTTGAGGAAAAAAAACTTGGATTGCAAACAAAAAATATAAACAAAACTTTTTCAAATTTCAAAAATGACCTTCTATCATCAGTACTTTTAGGTCTTTGATATATCCATTCACAAGATAAAAAGGCTAGAAAATGGAAAAAAGTAATATTTAGGTTGTGACAATAATAATTAAATTATGCAAATCTCGAAATTTATGAAAGAAATCACTTGTTTTAATGAGCTCATAAATTTATGGTAACCAGTAACTGTCAAATATTTTATGAAAATTTGTCAACTATCAGAAATTTAATTTACAAATTAGAATTAAAAACTAACCTGACAAATAACTTTTATCTATTACCCAAAAACTGTTGAAATTAATATTTAAAGGAACTCCTATGAGGTTTTTTTTTACTAAAAGGGACCAAAAATATTTTTTCTACAATTTTGTATAACTGTCATGTAGATCTGGACAAATAACTTATGTACAAAATTTTAGATCATTTGCTTGACCAGCTCCCCAGTTTACAGTCAATTTAATTGCCCAAATTGATCACAAAATGAAAAGCGTTGCAACTCATTTCACTCAAATCGGTCCCAGAACCCATTAAATATTGATCATAAATTTAGGTCTGAGTATTATTATTATCTATTGCATAGTTTTCTATTTTAAGTGAACAAAGTTGATTTATGAAAGAATTTCAAATTTTATGATTTTTGGCTATTAGACCTCAGTGGAGTTCCTTTAACCCAACTTGGAGTTTTGTATGTGTTGTTCCCATCCACACACCCCCCACCCCCAAAGTTTAAAAAAATGTATAAATATTTGTGTATCCCCTCCAAAAGTTTTTTTTTTAAATAATTACTTGTGTAGTTCTTTAAAGTAATACCATTACCTATCATGAATTTGTATCATATTATTGTAATTAATTAATTAATATGTTAAATAATTCTGATTATCATGAGTACCATAATTTTTATGCCATGTTATAATTATTAATTAGAAAATTTTACCTTTCATAGCTGTTGAAACATTCTCAGTTTGCAGTTCATTTTGAAAACATATCCATAACGTGAAGGTAAAGATCACTAAAATAAATAGTCCACATCTTTTAATGCTAATTCTCATAGCTTCAGTTAGCCTTTATTTAAACAAAAAATATAAAAATAAATAAAATATTGCATAGGTTTGGTCACTCACATATACATAATACTGATATCAGTTAACTATAGTTTATGTATGTGCTGCAAGGCAGTTTTCCAATAAAGTTGAATGTTAATTTAGATTGTTAATTTAGATTTATTGAAATTCTTTATGCTCATTGTTTAAATTTCTACTTTCAATTGATATTAAGATAGTATAGATTAAATCCACAGTATGAGAAAATTTAGCCCGGAGGCAAAAAAGTCCAGTAGTGTTGTATGTTAAAACTGACATCTGATCTTACATTCAGCAGAAGACGCATTGACTTAATGCTTTAACTGATACGATGGCAGACGGCTTTAACCGTTGATGATGTTGACAACTTTTAAGGCTGAATAATGGTCGTTAACCATTGTCTTGTTTAAAACTTGTTATTTGAATACTTAAGTCAATGTAATTTTTTCAACAGTTTAATTAAAATCATTTTGATGGACAATTATGGTTTTTGTTATGAAAATTTAAAGAGAAGACATGATGTTTTTTTGCGATTTTTTTTTTTTTTTTATGAAATTTCTATTGATTTTTCTATTGAATTTAATAGAAATTTTGACTTTCAGGGAAATTTAATGTCAGTTGCAATTGAATTGTACGTAAACTGTATCTGATAGTAATTGAAATTTTCCTGTAAAAGAAAGTTCTTGGCATGTTATTTTATGAACTTGACTTTTCCTTATGTTTTTGCGTGACAAACAATTACATTTTGAAAGTATGTTTTTGACATCTATATGTTCCTAATCTACAGTATATTGTTATCTGTTCCTGACATATAATTTAGGGGGCATCTGTGGCCAAGTGGTTACTGTCACTCAGACTTCAAACCACTTGCCCCTCACCACTGTGAGTTTGAAATCAACCAAGTACGTTGGATTCATTTATGCCGGGTACCATCAGTGGTTTTACCCTGATGCCTGTTGTTGTCTGAAATAAGGCATGGCGGGTCACCTGAGGTCTTCCTCCTCCAGTAAAGTTGAAGTCTCCATATGACCTTTGCTGAGTTTGTGTGACTTAAAAACTAATAATAAAGAATGTATTATTTTTTACTAGGAACATTTTTTTTTCAAGATCTAAACTAAACATTGTCTTTTGATTTTTTCTTCAATATTTAAGGATGTAAAAAACCATCATAGTGTATGCCTACAATAAAAACAAATAAATATGGACATTGTTCTTGCCAGAAAACATTATGATTATAGAAACCGTTTAACAATCTATATAACGATTAATTTATGTTTATCTAGGAATTTAATACTACTTTAAAAAGTTGCACAGGTGTAGGGTTCCTGTAATATTGTCTTTTATGATGGCAAGTCATTGTTATTATACATATCATATTAATTATATATTTCACAAAAAGAGGGGATATTGTTGTGATCATTTTTTTCTCCCTCTAACTTTAGATATTAAAAGATATACTTTGCTCAAATTGTCTCCAACTTTACTTTATCTGTGATAAGGAACGCAACTTCCCATACATAAAGTTAATTTATTCTTTTATTCAAATTAACCATATTCAGAAAGAATTCCATAGATTTCAATAAAGTTCTGTGATTAAAAAATTTACTCGAGGATGAGCATAGTATACAGGTATCTTTAAAAATGGAACCATCATTGATTATGATAGTTAAGCCTATTTGAATGTGTGAGCAAGATGATATTCATCAGTAAATCAAAAAAGGCTTCCACCTCTGAGAAAAAAAGATAATTCTCGGTGTTGATTCCTTTTAAAAAAGCTGTTGCCCCGGTAACTAGTGAAGTGAAGTAATTTTGCCTGCTTGTATTTAAGTGAGTGTGTTGTTTTTTCTCTCTCTATTATTACGGCAGTGGATTATTGATTATAAGCCGCCCTGAATGATCATGGAAGGATTCTCAGCTCTTGATGAGACACTGATTTTGTTGTCAATCAGTTTTCTCTACATTCAACATTTCCCCAGTCTGGTTCCATGATCGAAAAATAATTCAGATTCCAGTCTATCAAAAAAGGTTTTGATCAGAATTTTTTTTTAGTCTCTTCCGAAAAATCAATTGTTATAGTACGGTGAATTATGAAGATTAGCTTCCTTGCTGAAAATACGAAAAACAAGATCAACATTGATTGAACAAGGAAGGGCGGCATTCAAAGAAACACACCACCCAGTAACACAGGACCACAGTTAAATGGTAAGAAGCTCAGTAGGACACCAAGTAGTACACTGGGCACACACTGGTAAATCATGGAGGGACTGCTGAAGTTGTCCAATTAAGTATGCCCAACATTGAATTAAATTGTTCAGATCAAAAATCGTTATAGGGATTGCAGTTTAAGCCCTTTGCCTGATGTACCCATTGACCTTTGCCACCAGATATAACCAGGCCAGGCTGCTTGACCCTGTACAGTCCTTACCAGGCTCTTAGACTGTTTGGTGACCCACTATAGTCAGATTTTCATCTTGACATCCCCAAGATTGATAATAAATGGAAGGTGGACAAGTCTATTTTTAATAAACTCAGTAACATAAAGGTTCATGCAAGATGCTAAAATTTTAGCACACAGATGTATAGGACTGCACAAAAAACAGGTTTGCCTGTATGAACTAGAGTTAGGAAATATTAAAGGAGCATAATTATGCAATTGTTGGGGTGTTTGTCTCATTCATATAAGCAGAGTTTAATTTCTGTTTACATTGACAGCTGCACTTAGTTATGACAACTTTAATTGCCAGTTAGAAAGTCACATTTGTTATGCTCTGATGTTTGCAGTGTTTATCTGATGGGTTGAGAAATACAGACAGACTTGTGTCTTACAGGTTAAGTTAATGAGAAATACAGTCAGACTTGTGTCTTACAAGTTAAGTTAATGAGAAATACAGTCAGACTTGTGTCTTACTGGTTAAGTTAATGAGAAATACAGTCAGACTTGTGTCTTACAGGTTAAGTTAATGAGAAATACAGTCAGACTTGTGTCTTACAAGTTAAGTTAATGAGAAATACAGTCAGACTTGTGTCTTACAGGTTAAGTTAATGAGAAATACAGTCAGACTTGTGTCTTACAAGTTAAGTTAATGAGAAATACAGTCAGACTTGTGTCTTACGGGTTAATGAGAAATACAGTCAGACTTGTGTCTTACAAGTTAAGTTAATGAGAAATACAGTCAGACTTGTGTCTTACGGGTTAATGAGAAATACAGTCAGACTTGTGTCTTACAGGTTAAGTTAATGAGAAATACAGTCAGACTTGTGTCTTACGGGTTAATGAGAAATACAGTCAGACTTTTGTCTTACAGGTTAAGTTAATGAGAAATACAGTCAGACTTGTGTCTTACGGGTTAATGAGAAATACAGTCAGACTTGTGTCTTACAGGTTAAGTTAATGAGAAATACAGTCAGACTTGTGTCTTACGGGTTAATGAGAAATACAGTAGACTTGTGTCTTACAGGTTAAGTTAATGAGAAATACAGTCAGACTTGTGTCTTACGGGTTAAGTTAATGAGAAATACAGTCAGACTTGTGTCTTATGGGTTAATGAGAAATACAGTCAGACTTGTGTCTTACAGGTTAAGTTAATGAGAAATACAGTCAAACTTGTGTCTTACAAGTTAAGTTTATGAGAAATACAGTCAGACTTGTGTCTTACAGGTTAAGTTAATGAGAAATACAGTCAGACTTGTGTCTTACAGGTTAAGTTAATGAGAAATACAGTCAAACTTGTGTCTTACAAGTTAAGTTTATGAGAAATACAGTCAGACTTGTGTCTTACAGGTTAAGTTAATGAGAGAAATACAGCCAGGCTTGTGTCTTACAGGTTAAGTTAATGAGAAATACAGTCAGACTTGTGTCTTACGGGTTAATGAGAAAAACAGTCAGACTTGTGTCTTACAGGTTAATGAGAAATACAGTCAGACTTGTGTCTTACAAGTTAATGAGAAATACAGTCAGACTTGTGTCTTACAGGTTAAGTTAATGAGAAATACAGTCAGACTTGTGTCTTAAGGTTAAGTTAATGAGAAATACAGTCAAACTTGTGTCTTACAGGTTAAGTTAATGAGAAATACAGTCAGACTTGTGTCTTAAGGTTAAGTTAATGAGAAATACAGTCAAACTTGTGTCTTACGGGTTAAGTTAATGAGAAATACAGTCAGACTTGTGTCTTAAGGTAAAGTTAATGAGAAATACAGTCAGACATGTGTCTTACAGGTTAAGTTAATGAGAAATAAGTCAGACTTGTGTCTTAAGGTTAAGTTAATGAGAAATACAGTCAGACTTGTGTCTTAAGGTAAAGTTAATGAGAAATACAGTCAGACTTGTGTCTTACAGGTTAAGTTAATGAGAAATACAGTCAGAATTGTGACTTACAGGTTAAGTTAATGAGAAATACAGTCAGACTTGTGTCTTAAGGTTAAGTTAATGAGAAATACAGTCAAACTTGTGTCTTACAGGTTAAGTTAATGAGAAATACAGTCAGACTTGTGTCTTAAGGTTAAGTTAATGAGAAATACAGTCAGACATGTGTCTTACAGGTTAATGAGAAATACAGTCAGAATTGTGTCTTACAAGTTAAATTAATGAGAAATACAGTCAGGCTTGTGTCTTACAATTAAGTTAATGAGAAATACAGTCAGACTTGTGTCTTACAAGTTAAGTTAATGAGAAATACAGTCAGACATGTGTCTTACAAGTTAAGTTAATGAGAAATACAGTCAGACTTGTGTCTTACAATTAAGTTAATGAGAAATACAGTCAGACATGTGTCTTACAAGTTAAGTTAATGAGAAATACAGTCAGACTTGTGTCTTACAGGTTAAGTTAATGAGAAATACAGTCAGACTTGTGACTTACAGGTTAAGTTAATGAGAAATACAGTCAGACTTGTGTCTTAAGGTTAAGTTAATGAGAAATACAGTCAAACTTGTGTCTTACAAGTTAAGTTAATGAGAAATACAGTCAGACTTGTGTCTTACAAGTTAAGTTAATGAGAAATACAGTCAGACTTGTGTCTTACATGTTAAGTTAATGAGAAATACAGTCAAACTTGTGTCTTACAGGTTAATTTAATGAGAAATACAGTCAGACTTGTGTCTTAAGGTTAAGTTAATGAGAAATACAGCCAGGCTTGTGTCTTACAAGTTAAGTTAATGAGAAATACAGTCAGACTTGTGTCTTACATGTTAAGTTAATGAGAAATACAGTCAAACTTGTGTCTTACAGGTTAAGTTAATGAGAAATACAGCCAGGCTTGTGTCTTACAGGTTAAGTTAATGAGAAATACAGTCAGACTTGTGTCTTACAAGTTAAGTTAATGAGAAATACAGTCAGACTTGTGTC